GGGGGGGGTGTGAGGGCAGGGAACAGGGGACACTGCGGTATCTGTAGCTCGTGCGGGGTGCTGTCTTCACGACAGCTCGCCAGGCTGACAAGCGGAGGCAGGCGGAGAAGTCCTGGGCTGGGAGTTCTGGGGTCAAGGCCAGCAAGTGCAGCGGGTCGATTGGTCGATGCCGCGCCTTGGACGCCCCCTGGCGCTCTGCGGCATTGACGGCGCCCCGCTGGCCCGGCGTGGTGCTCGCCAAACGCCTCACGGTCAATGCACCTTCGGCGCGGGCGTATTCAATGGCGCGCCGCCAGGGCGAGTGTGCGCACCTCGCTGGCGGCTTTCTTGCCGATGAGGGGGTCGAAGTGGCCGTAGTGGCTGTCAAACCCCGATGCGGGGCCCATGCACACAAACCGCTGCGCGGGCGGGAAGAGGTGCCGGCGGAAAACGACAAGGGGGCAAGGGGGTAAAGACGAGGCAGGAACAGAACAAACGGACGGCATGCACCACCACTGCAGTGTAGGCAAGGGCCGCCAAATGCAGCCCTGAGGCGATGAAGCGCCCGCCGACCTCCTTCAAGCCCGGCCGGCCTGGCGCGCAGGGGGCGCGCCAGCGCCGCTTTTGTCATCGCCCCCCAGTTACACGCGCCCACCTTGTCCCGGCTCCCAAACATCTCCCAGGTCTTGCGCTGTTCACGGTGGAGAAGGGGCGAAGGGGCAGTGAGGTCGTGCAGTGCTCGCCGTGGCAATGCACATCAGTCAGGAAGCTGCCGGCCCCGCAGGACGTCACGATTCCACGCCGCAGGACTGCCACCACCCCACGACCTGTCCTCCACCGGCGCAACATGTCACAAATGCGCCTTGCTTGGCTGCAAAATGCTGCAGGTTTGCCTGAAACGACAGGATGCTGCCTTACCGACGGCATCCCCCACTCCATCCTAGCCTTGCTAGCCGTGGCAGCGCAGCGCCAGCCGCCTGCCGGTGTGCTCGCATCTGCCCAGCCCCATCTATCCAACCTCCCCCCTCACCAGCAATGCCACGCATCGCTGTTGTGTGAGCATCAAACATCAAAACTCCCACCTTCACCTCGACCCAGGGCTCACCACTCCGGCCGGCGGGCACATCCTGTCCATGTCCCCCACCAGGAACATCACCGGCGCCGTCACCTTGGCCAGCCGCGCGGCATCAGGGTACACCACGCGGCCGTCGGACGAGGTGAGGCCCTGCATGCCAAACGCGGTCGCGATCTGGCGCACGACACCGACGCTGCGGCGGGGGGTTGCGAGCGCGGGTTGCGGCGGGCGGCATGCAAATCAGGCGCGCCGCCTTGCCCGGGAAGTTGGAAACAACGTGCATTGACGCCCCCAGAAGTGCGAGGTGAGTGAATTGCGCTGCCCTCCGTTGTATGTCAAATGGCGACGGCCCCTGCGATTGGCGTCCAAGGCCTGCGCGTGTGGCTGTGGTTGTGTGTGCGGCTACGGTTGCAAGTGCGGCCGGGTGGCCGGGGGTGCGTGTGTCACCTGATGTCTGAGAAGTTGCGTGTCATGAGGAGCCGCGCGATGCGGTGGTCCACATTGGACGGGTAGAAGTACCTTTGCAAGGGAGCGAGGGTCGGGTGGCGTTTGGAACAAGGACGAGGAGCCGGGGAGCGCCATGAGCGCAACAGGAGCCCACCATGATCAGTGGCATGTGCGACGCAGAGGAGGGCCCGAGAATGCTGGGGAGGCAGGGGCGTATACAGTGCTGCCAGCTGCTGCGCTGCAGCGGGGCCGCCGGCAACAGCGGCAGCGGCGCGCTCGACGCGACTTCGCTCCCCCCGCGGTTCAAGACACTTGCTGCACATGCGTGGCACGCAATCTGGTACGGCCGTGCTCGGCGCTCGTTCCGCCTCCACAACCCGTTCCTCACTCCCCCTCTCCCTGCATAATGAGCAGCAGCACTGGGCTCAAGCCTCTCGCTGCTCACAGCATGTCTATGTAGGGTATGCGGTAGGGCCCGAGCATGATCTTGGCGTACTTGCGCAGCAGGCTGCCGCTCGGGACCGTCCACATGACCTTGGACAGCGGCATCAGCGGCTCAAACAGGCGCCACCAGGACTCTGCGAGCGGCGCGGCGCACCACAGGCATGAGAAGAGACGACGTGGCGCCAGGGTTGGTGGGTCCGTTGCCGCCCCGGTCGTGGCATTGTGAAGGCGGAAAGCACAAGGGCGGTGATACAGGGGCATGAAAACACCCAGATCCAACATGAACTGGAAGAGGGGCCCCTGTCGCTGACACTGCACACTCCCAAAACAGCCAAAGAAGGACAGTACGCCCGCGCCGCCCAAGCTGACCCTCCAGGAAGAGGCCGCTGCCGATGGCGATGCAGGAGCGGATCTTGCTCGTGGTGTTGTCCACGCGCGCCATCACGCCGCAGAGGATCATGCCTGCGGGGGAACAAGTGCGGTGAGAGGAGCGGCGCTTGTTGGTATGGACGGTGCGTGAGGCTCACAGTGTGTTGCCTCGAGAGAAGCCAGCTAAAGGAGACTGGGTCCAGAAAACATGTTCAAATCTGAGAGCTGGCGGGTCAGAACAAAGTAAGGGCATCGCGCGCCACCCACCGCCCATGCTGTGGCCCAGGAAGTGGGCCTGCGGGCAGTGCGTCTCGTGCAGCACGAAGCGCAGCAGTGCCGGCACGTCCTGCGCCGTGAGG